TGACCCGCCCGCTGCTCCTCTCAGCAGTGCACTTCGTTCATCTGCCTGTTCTGCTCCCCACTCTGTCTCTGGTGAAGCCTCTCACCGCTCCTGAGTCTCTGGCCTGTACCCCAGTTCTGTATGCACAAATAAATAAATCTTTAAAAATAATAATAATAATAATAAAATAAAATAGCATACTGAGTATAACCAGATGTGTGGTCACTCAGGCTTTCTTCTTCATAGAGCATTTGCAGAATAGATTTAGCATAATTGTTAAGGATCCTAGGATTTTTGGAATAGTAAACAAGCATTAGTTTTCAACAAAATGTTATCAGCTCATCGGCCCCTAACAAGAGAATCATCCTGTCTTTTGAAGATTTGGAACCAGGCATTGACTTCGCTCTAGCTATAAAAGTCTTAGTATCTTTTTCCAGTATAAGACTGTTTTGGAGATACTGACAATCTGTTGTCTTGTGTAGTCATCTTTATCAGTTGTCTTAGTAGATCTTCTAAATAACTTATTATAACTATCATATTAGCAATAACTGCTTCACCTTGCATTTTATGTTATGAAAATGGCTTCTTTCCTTAAACCTCATGAAGCAACCTCTGCTATCTTCAAACTGTTCTTTACCTGCTTCCTATTCTTAGCACAGACTTACGTAATTCTTCACCAAATTGAAGAGAGTTAAAACTTTGCTCTGGATTAAGCTTTCACTTGAGGGCGTGGTTGGTTAGATCTATCCAGACCACTAAAGTTTCCCTATATAGCAATAAAGCTGTTTCACTTTCTTATCACTCATATATTCACTGTATAGCACTTTTAATTTACTTCAAGAACTTTTTTTGCATTTACAACTTAGCTAACTTTGACAAAGGAGAACTACTCTCTGGCCTATATGGTTTTTGACAACGGTCCTCACTAAGTTTAGTAATTTCTAGCATTTGACTCAAAGTGGGAGATGTGTGAGTCTTTCTTTACTGGGACAGTTAGAGTTCATTGTAGAGAGATTAACTAAGGTGGTTTTCAATATTGTTGCATCTCAGGGGATAGGGAGGCTCAAATGAGGGAGAAAGATGGAGCATAATTGGTTGCTATAGCAGTCAGCAAACATTTAACAGTTATCAATTATCTTCATGTGCTATAAGGGTGCAGTTCATGGCACTCCAAATCAATAATAATATAACATTAAAACGCACTGATCACAGATCACCATAACATAAAAATATTGAATTTCAGTGAAATTCATTCATTAAAATATCATGAGAATTGTCAATATGTGACACAGAGACAGGAAATGAACATATGCTGTTGGAAAAGTGACCCAACATACTTGCTTGAAGCAGGGTTGCCACAAAATTTTAAATTGTAAAAGACACAGTACATGAGATGTACAATAAAGTGAGGCACCCATGTAATGGGTGGTCAGTAAGTGCTGGAAGTGAATTGTGTGTGAGAAGGGTAAGCATGTAGCATTATTGTGCTGTTGTCTCCTTAAGGGACCAATTCAGTCATGTCATGTCATTCATTCATTCAAGGCATTCCCAGAGAAGATTTAAACAAAGTTTTGAAAGAGATGAGTTGTACAGCTAAGTGATGGTGCAGCAAATCATTCTTGTTAAAGCAAGAATGTCATGGTAAAGGAAAAACAGGAGAAAAAGGTGTCTGAAAAGAGTAAAGAGAAAAGTCAGACAAATAACAGAAGCCAGATCTATAGAATTCTTAAGGCCACTGTAAAAACTTCAGCTTTTAATCTGAGTCAGATAGAGAGCACTGGGGAATTTTGAGCAATTAGTGATATGATCCAGCTTATGTTATTCAAGTACATTTGGTAGCTAGAAGAATGGACTCTGTGTATTGGAGGGGGGGGTATTTTGAATGCTATTACAATGATCCA